ATTTTTTTTTTCTTTTTTCTTTTTTTTTTTTTTTTCTTTCTTTTTATCCAGGCCGTTCGAATTCGCCTCGTGTAAATCGTTAAGCGTCACTGGATCTTGTCTGGAAGACACGCTTTCACCGCGAAACTGGTGCAAAAGTGTGTCTCTCCATTAAGGGCGGCGAGAATATTTAGAACGCTATTTTTGGAAATGTCCAAGTTTCGCGCACGTTCGAAAGGAAGTTCGCAGCACAGAGAGAAACTGAAACTTTTAACCCGACCTACCTCGAATTTTTTTACTTCGAGATCGATCAACGAATATAGAACGTTGAAAATTTTATGATTTCCGATCGATCAAATTTATTTCGCGAAAAATTTTATCGTCCTCATTTCCTCCGATTAAATTCTCGTTTCCCGATTCGAGAGAGATCGATGAATGATGGTTTTATATATATAATGTATATATATATAATGATTTCTACTTGATTAAATTTATTTAACGTCCTCTTGTTGTGCGCGAAAAATTATTCGAAAAAGCTATTAAAAGGATGTAACACGATGATGCTTTGGAAAATGGAGTTATCAAAGGGACACATTTACGTCGAATAAACGAAGAAACATGCGAACACGCAAAGTACCCTCGACGAGGCAAGAACAATATAGCGCGTGCTACAAGTTAAAAGGGGCTTGATAAACCGGTATACGGATCGTTGAACAAAGCTTTACTGCAAAGGAGCATCCCAGGATCGTATAATAGCGAAGAAATTGCGCCGAAACTAAGGTAAACAGAAACACGCGTACCTTGATATATTAAGATATTTCCTACGAAGGAAAACGTTTTTCTCACGACTCAGTTAATTCCTTTAGATGATATCGAAGAAAAGATCTTAACAATTGTCGAATAAAAATAAGGGAGGGAGTAAATAAAGTCAAAGGGATCTTTCGAAAGAGTGAAATGTTCAATCTTGTTATTAAAAAAAAACAAAATTTTACTACAAAAGAAAAAAGAAGACACTCTCTCTATTCATTAAAAAAAGAAAAAAGTGAAAAGTAAATTTCTCTACGATCAAATCGCAAACGATATTTTAACAAGTTGCTCGAATTGTCTCGATTGTGTTTCCAGAAGAAGCGAGAAGAAACAGCTCGAAAAATACGCTTTGTGTAAATAGAAACCGGACGCTACAGTAGTGCAAACACGTAATAAAGTCGACAGGCTGGACTATCGTGTAACGGTGGCGCGACACGAGTAAAAATTTCATAAAAGGAAAAACATGAAATTTGATTGTAACCAACCGCCGGACTCTGCTCGGATCCGATTTAAAGTGGGAAAAAAAGAGATGGAATAAAAAGAGGAAAGGAGGAAGAATAAAAGGTTGTTATTAAACGAAGAAGCGTCGAGAATTCTTCGCCGATCCGATCTTTTTGCGAATTTCAGGGGTTGGATCCGGCCACTTCGATAAAAATGTTCCAGAGAGTAAAAAGTACGAAGGAGGAACGAAGATGAGAACGTTGCGAGGGCAAAGAAACGGGGAGGGTAACTCGATAAAATTGACCGAGTTATACGGTTGCACGAGCGGTTCGACACTCCTGCGCCGTCTCCGCGCTGTCCATCGCCGTCACACAAATCTAATTCCCGTCCCTGATAACCGAACCCATGCCGAGCGTGGCAGAATATTCCAAGATCGCGATTCTTCGGGATTTTTCCCTCGTCCACGTATTTCAGATGGGGAGAACGCGCGGCTAACACGTGGGTGTAGATGGAACCTTCGACAAATTCGACAAATAATCGCACAGCTGATGCCGCGAAAGGCAACAAGGTTTCCTCCTCGAAACATCGGACTTTGAAAAGTTTCTCCGCCATCATCGAGAGCTTTGAACGACAAACTCACCCTTTTTAAGCTCTTTCGTTGAAACAGGAACTTCTTCTTCTTCTTCTTCTCTGCCAGTTTTACTTAACAACGTGACTATTTTTTTAAATATTTACATTTTTTTTAATAATATCGATCGAACGTATGGATTTTTGTTTGCGTTTCTCAGAAATCAATCGGCGTCCGAGCGGCGAATATCGAAAGAGGAATTAATTTCAGGGACTCGGCGCGCTAATCCAGTTAGAGCGCGTCCCTCCTACTTGGAGAAGCATAGAACGCGCTTTACCCCTTATTTCCACGGGCAGATTGCCACGGCGTGTGAATTTAAATGTCCCCCAGCACTTTTGTACTTGCCTCGGTCTCCGAATTCAGCGCCGATTCCGACCCGCTTCCATACAATTCCGAAAATTTCGCGAATTTCTAAGAAGTAACGGGCTCACCTCTCGAGATCTTTCCGAAAGTCGCGAGAAAAAGAAAACAAGGGACGAGAAGAAAAGGGGGGAAGCGAAGAAAAATTAAATTCCTCGAATGTCATTAAGAGGGGCTGAAAGAATCGTAAAAGAAGAATGGAACACGCGGTGGAAATTTAAACCTA